AAGGAATTCGCCAGCAAACTCGAGGTCAACGCCGCCGAGACAGAGAAGCAACGTGCTGAAGTCCACGAGAACAAGCTCGCTAGCATCGCCAAGGCCGCTGAACCTCTCGCAGACGATACATTCGGAACCGGCCATCTCAGCAAGAAGCTCCGTGATCTCTGCCCTGAAGATACAATCTGGGCCATTGAAGCTGTCACCAACACTGGTTTCGTACACGATAACATCCAACCCACAATTCCCGGATCTTGGATCAACTGTGGAGGCGGTGGTCTCGGCTGGTCTGGCGGTGGTGCCCTGGGTATCAAGCTTGCGACAGATGCTGAGAACGGCGGTACAAATAAGGGCAAGTTTGTTGTGCAGATTGTAGGAGATGGCACATATCTTTTCACAGTACCTGGTAGCGTGTACTGGATCTCAAGACGCTACAAGATCCCCGTCTTGACCATTGTGCTCAACAACAAGGGTAAGTCGCCTTACCTGTCAGACCAACAATATGCTAACACTTCACAGGATGGAACGCCCCTCGCAGGTCACTCCTACTGGTTCACCCTGACGGTCTTGGATCAAAGGCCACAAACGAAGAGATCAACATTTCCTTCGATCCCGTGCCAGATTACGCTGGTATTGCTAAGGCTGCTGCGGGTGGAGATATCCACGCTGCTAGAGTTGACAAGGCTTCGGATCTGGAGAGTGTGTTGAAGGAGGCTATTGCCAAGGTGCAGGCAGGTCAAACGGCTGTGGTTGACTGCAAGGTAGCGCCAGATTGTTAAAGATTTATGAAATAACGAGATAATAATGTGCAGGTTTGGGCTGGACTTAGATCTAGGGGCTGAAGTGCCGGGATTTGTTTAGACTGGTAGCATTGATAGGTGCATTAGAGCAATGTTTGATCATTAGATTCTTAACGTCTGCTGTGAGTACGGTTCTTCCTTGGGTTCAGTTATAAGGGCTTGACCTTCGATGGGAAGCAGCTATATAGTCGTAGGAAGAGCCATGAGGTAACAGTCTGTAAATCATCGCCTTCACTTCGCTTCTCTCTTACATTAATCGCGTACCTTACCCAGCTCATCTTCTCTCGGTGAACCCCACGTCACAAACAGGCCGTCTGTTTAGGTCATCAATACCACCACTGCTTTCTGTTGTAATGCAGATATGTTCCTTCGCCCACGCAATCAGTCAGACTCTTGTCGCATGGTGTCGCATGGCGTCGCATGGCGAGACCGATCGTCTATCACAAAAAGCCAAGGTGCATCTTCTATTGTTCTCACGAGTTGACTCCGAACGACTTATGAGTCAGTAGATCATATTCCTTGAAGTTGGCTTTCACAATGATTTGGTCGTAGAGTTGACAGTGCTCAGCTTGAAAGATATCCTTTGCTAACGATATCACGTTGCAAGCGCCAAAATTTTCAGTATAAGGTCAAGAAGCTCTTTTGCCATCAAGATGCGGTAGAGTGGGAGTGTAGGGTATGTGTTTAAGTGTGATCTTTCAAATGTATCGGACCCTGGTTATATGGACATATTACGATTGGATATAAAAATCTGTTGAAAGCATTGTTATGTCCTTGCTGATTGTATTTTTCAACACACTTTTTGTATAAGTCTAACCTTTGGAACGGGGCATGCCAAGGTTGTTTCCGCGGCGTTTACTTGGCCAGGACAGGTAAGTGATTCGTCGAATTGCCACCAGAAGTCTTGACTGATACCCATTATTCGTTCATGACTGTGTGATTTGAAAGAGAAAAGAGAAATCGTGGCAAGGGCGCGTAACTGATGGAGTTTCTGATATTTCTCATGCAGAATAGGTCACCAGGCTTAAAGCCCAGATCCGGGGTGGCCGTGTTTAAACGCCGGGAAAAACATCAGTCGACGCCTAAATGGTGCCTTGGCAGGGAAGATCATCATCTCTTGCGGCTCTTCTCCTCTGCTGGTCATGCAGTAGTTTAACCCAGAGACCATTTGGTCTAGATCCTCAGCGGGTGGATTGTATATCCGTATGCGTAAACATACCCCGTATTTACTGCAATGTTGCCAGGATAACACGATAAATACGCTGCTTTCATATCCGGAGCCTACCGTGGATTAACACCATTCATCCATCTCGGAGGCTAAATCTGAGTGAATGTCCTGGCCTGGAGCTAAAATGACAAGATTGGTACCGTTGCATTCCACTTTCAAGACTAGAAGGTGATTAGTTCTTCGATGCTAGGAGAAAGAAGACGCGAAAATTATGGGAATTGATCACGATAGGCATTTGCTGATCCATTGATTGAGCCAATACTCATCTTATTTCTCCCCCGCACCACGTGCTCGTGACACGAAAAAAGAAGCTCGGGAGGAAGGTGCGGCTAGTTGCTGCTGGTGCTGGCAGGTGCAGGCGCAAGCGGTTGCAAGTGCAAGTGCGGGCAGGTCCCTTCTTGGGTTGGGCAGCCGCCGACAGATACATCCATCCATAGTTACAAGCAAGATTGCCTAGGCACAGTCAACAAAAGCAAACAAATCACTTCATTCACATTCTCTTTTTAATCTCGCAACCTCTCTTTTCATCCTTGATCTGATTTCTTTTAGAGTTCTTTATTGCAGGCTCTTCCTGGCGAGTTTGAGTCTCACGACCGCGACTCATCTCGGACAATTCATCTCATTTCATTTCTTCTTCATCTTGTTCTTGTCCTTCATTTGTCCTAAAACAACGCCACGCTAAAGTAGTCGGTCCGGCTCTTTTATCATCAGGCTTTCGCTCGCTCGCTCGCTTCCTCTCGACCGTTAGGATCTCATACCTCCCATAGCTGAACTCGACAAACTATAAAGGCTCGACTCGACGCCCTCACGGGACCCTTTGCGACTACTGCTGCACCTTACTCCTCCAGGGTCCCACGTCGAGATCTTAGGCCCCGCCACTCCACTTCGGTATTCTCGTCCCACTACAGGTCGCAACTTTGCGCTGGTATTGGATTGGATTGGCATTTATTTACCTACGCCCGACTCGACCCAAAGCAACAACAAAAACAGGCCTAGCCCGTGATACGAAAACTTGCTCCAAAAAACTGTTCTTCACTCTCCTCCACTACGTCTCGATTAACGAGAGATCATGAAAGGCGTCGAGCCGGATCTTGCCCAGCGCCTTAAGAGATTGAGACGCGTCAATAGCTCTGTGTCTTGACCACCGACCAAGCTTTCAAACCCAATTTGCTTTTTCCAGCCATGTCTTATCAAGCGGCTGTTACTACCGAGGCTCAGGCCGGCACAATTCCACTGCGACATCCCGATACCACGACTGATCGACCGCCGCCTCCTCCCCCGGTGCCCTCTTCCGATCCTCATTTGATCGCCGACGACCCCTCCGCACCGAAAGCCTCTGCCGATCATGGCCTCTTCGAGATGTCACCAGCAGAAGCACTCGCTCTGCTGAGCGCTGGCGTCGAGCTTCTCGTCAGGATAACGGGCGATGTCCCTCCGACACCACCGCCAAAATCTCCCACTGTGCCGCACATGAGTGGCATGCAAGCCGAGAAGGAGAATATTGTGCGGTCATATTCTGATAAGAATCTGGCGAAACTAAGGAAACAGGCTGAGCTTGAGGCTAAGAGATTGGCTGCCAAAGATAAGCCTGAGCCTGTGCATGACAATCAACCAGAGTCGGGGGATATTGATGGTGTGCGACTGAAGCCTCACCCAGGTCTCATGTCGCCACCGCCTCAATCAGAGCCTTACGTTGTCGTTGGAGCTGATTCTCAGCCTGTCAATTTGCAACACAGCGCCATAACACGCAAATTCTACAGCAAGAATGAGCCTCCGATTACTATCAACCAATATCTTCAGCGACTTCACCAATTCTGTCCTATGAGTACCGCAGTATACCTCGCGACATCATTGTATATACACAGATTAGCCGTCGAGGAGCGAGCTATCCCTGTCACCCGGCGCAACGCACATCGCTTAGTCCTGGCTGGTCTGAGAGTTGCCATGAAAGCTCTTGAAGATCTATCTTATCCCCATGCCAAGATGGCTAAGGTGGGTGGCGTCAGTGAAGCAGAGCTGGCTAGGTTGGAGATAAGCTTCTGTTTCCTGGTTGGATTCGAACTAGTTGTTGGTGAGAGCAGACTACGGAAACACTACGAGCGATTGAGAGATCGCACATCGCATCACGGCTTCGATAATGCGGATGTTCCTATATTAAACCTCAAGCCTCGGCCACGCGGCGGAGTTCAGCCAGCAGCATAGACAACTGGCCCACCTACTTACCCTTCTCACCTACATTTCACGCATCATGGTTTGGGATATTTGAGAGCACGGAATCTGCATGTCATTTTGTTTTTATCTTTGGGGCCTCGTACTTTATGGTGTTTGGCACGAGCATTGTACATGGCTTTTTACCTTGCACATAGTCTAGGCGTGGCATTATGGGATGAGAGGCATATATGTTGGAGTGCATCATGAATTTTATATCCAGACTTGTCAGCATATTCCCGTCCATCGTTTCATCATTCCCACGTGTTCTTGTGATGTTGCTGCGACGATCTACGAAGCCAAAGGGACTACTTGACTCGTAATCAGGGTCTTGATTCTTCACGAGGGTCCCATCGAGACCCGCTGTGTGATGGACCCATCATGGCTTTTCGATTTGGAATGTTCTAAGCATCCACATAGCTCCGTATAGCCGTCGTGTAAATGGGACGTAGTATTTGAGCGAGTCAGTACTCCGTGAACATGCTGATGGGTCCACTGGAGATCAACTGTCATTTAGTCTGTACAGCTTCATGATGGGCTCTGTCAATAGCACGCCGAGACAATGTCTGAAGGATTCACTGCTATCCGGCTTGTCGTCTCATTGTGAAGCTAGTGATCCTGACGGTCCATGTGCTGCATTTCCGTATTCGTTTCTGCCACAGATAACCGCTTACCCCATTTCACAATACCCCATCCTTATCCATCATCGTCATCTCACCTCACTTCAGTCACTCATCAACAACTCTGGGATTTGAAGCAGCGTTCATGACGAAATGGGCGCCAAGACATCTGAAGACGATCACTCTGGAGGAAATGGTACATCTCGTAGCCCTTCGTAAACATAGAACCTCACTTACACGTATCAGGCCAAGGACCACTCTCATCCAAGCCATCCTCTGCAGGCGGAGAGCCACGCGGTGCTCATCTCGTCCGCGATGGCGACGGTAGTCTGGGAGGCGAAGGGGGCGACGACGACGACGATGATGATAACAACACTCCCGCCGGACCGCTAACCGACGGTGCTGGTAAGAAGAAGAAAAAGAGAAAGCCAAAGAAGAAGAAGAAGGCTCCTACACAGCAATCTTCACCTCCAAGAGTCCCACTGAGTGATCTCTTCAAAGAGTTTCCGGCCGGTGAAATTCAGGATTACAATACTGCTCGTACTACAGCTCAAGAACTTCGCTTCATGGGTCGCCGACAACTCGAAGATCCAGAGTTTCTGAACGATTATCGAAAGGCTGCTGAAGTTCATCGGCAGGTCCGACAGTGGACGCAGGAGAACGTCAAGCCGGGTGATAAACTCATTGATGTCGCTAATGGTATTGAAGACGGCGTGCGTGCGCTTTTGGGGAACCAGGGTATCGAGCCTGGTGATAACCTCAAGGCTGGAATGGGGTTCCCGACAGGTCTTTGCTTGAACCATGAGACTGCGCATTACACGCCTAACCCTGGCCAGAAGGATGTAGTTCTCAAGTATGAGGATGTCATGAAGGTTGATTTCGGCGTGCAGATCAATGGTTGGATCGTCGATAGTGCATTCACCATGTCATTTGACCCTATGTACGACAACCTTCTCAACGCCGTCAAGGATGCCACCAATAGCGGCATCAAGGTATGTCTCTCACCTTCTGATAGATAATGTGTCTGACGATTGTAGGCCTCTGGTATCGACGTTCGTATCTGCGACGTCAGCGCTGCAATCCAAGAAGCAATGGAGAGCCACGAGGTTGAAATCAACGGGAAGACATATCCCGTGAAACCCGTCCGCAACATCTCAGCGCACAACATCAAGCACTACCAGATCCACGGTGGAAAGTCGATCCCGTTTATCAAGAACAATGATCAGACTAAGATGGAGGAAGGCGAAGTGTTTGCTATTGAGACGTTTGGTACAACCGGCACTGGACGACTTTACGACGATGTAAGTGTGCATGTTTGGCGAGTTGGGATGTTACTGATGAGTGTAGGTGGGCATTTATGGCTACGGTTTGCATCACGATGCGCCGAGACATGTGAATTTACCTTTTGCGTCGGCGAATAGGCTTTATAAGGTCATTCGCGAGCAGTTTGGGACTATTGTCTTTTGTCGTCGATATCTCGAGCGCTTGGGCCAAGAGCGATATCTCGCTGGTGTAAGTGCTTTAACCGTATGTGAGGAGGAGATTACTGACTGGTTGTGAAGCTAAACTCTTTGGTGTCTAATGGTATTCTTGAAGCGTATGAACCGCTTGCTGATATCAAGGGTTCTTACTCGGCGCAGTTCGAGCATGTAAGCTGATGTGTGCCTGTAAAGATATGAATGAGATAGATGCTAACTGTGGTAGACTATTTTGCTTCGAGAGTCGCATAAGGAGGTTATCAGTCGTGGAAGTGACTACTAAATTGAGAAGGACTCGAGTTTTGTCAAATTGGGGGAATAGGAAGGGTTCAACATGATATGGGAATGGTTTCAACACCATTTCCTTCCGCTGAGCAGTAGTCCCAACACTACTGCACACAGCTACGGTCTGGCTTCAACACGCCTGCCTGCATTTACATTCGTATGATAGTATAGTCTATCACTATCTTCAACAAAATCTATTTGCACTTCCATATTCACGTCGGTACATGACTTGACGGCAGATGCTAAACTCTTGGCATCGTCGGTGATTTCCCAAAACGTACTCTATCAAACATGCTATCATCTCGCCATAGATCAACAGTGAGTCACTGGAGAAACTGTCTCAGATACACACACACACACACACATACATACAGATACATCAGTCGCTTAAACCCCGCCATATGCCCGCACCAGAAGCGAACTGCCAATGGATGGGTGCCTTGAGAAACAGGGTGTCATGAGGCCCTATCGGCTAATGTCTCGATCGGCACATCATGAGCGGGGTCTGAGCGAACTACACTATGTACATTTCTCTAGTGTAGGGCATTTTTAGGCAGACAAGGCAATCGGTCAATGGAGAGATTCCAATTGAGATGCTAATGATTGCAGCAAAACAACCCCTCCAAACCCATTCCTATACCAAAACGACTTTTCATGCTATATCTCTGGGCAATAACCCAAGACCCAAAATACGCCCCCAACTCGCATTTAACTAAAACCTCATCGTTACAGAATAACTTGATTCCCACGGCCCCTAAAGATGAAGCCTCACCAAAGTCCCAAAACGACCCCATCTTTCGATTCTTGGTGTTTTTTTCGGTGCGTGTGTCTCCACTCCTCCCACCTCCAGGGGCAAAAAGAACTTTGGTTGGACTAACTAATCCTTGCTCTGATTCACGATGTATGCATGCGCGATCCTTCGGTGTTTTGAGGTTCCCTTAATTTTTACACTTTGATGCCGAGGAGTTGACTTTCTTGCAGATATCATGATGTGCTTTGAAAAGTCGGTTGATTTATAATTTTGGTGAGGGGGATCGTGATGTCTTGGTGTGCAGCCTAATCGACTTACACTGAAATCGCACACCCTCAGTCCTAGGGTCATGAGACAGACAGGTTTTTTTCTATTCTTGCACATTTGGTGGGAAATGTCTTGTACCTGCTTTAGTGTCTCACCTCCTCCAAGCCATTGAGCCTCTCTATCCTTATCTCAGAGCCATTTCGGCGTAAACATTCACTGTGATGCAAGTAGGAACCAAAGTATTCAAAAAACGAAACCCATTCTGAGTTCTTTTTTTTTATCTTGCTGTTTTGTGTCTTGTATCTAACTAAGTGTTCTGTAATCCTTAAAATCGGCTCATTGCCTTGCTCGCTGGTATCCAAATCCCAATATCAAACTCCCTTAAACGTATACAGAATAATTCCCAAATCCCAAGTCTAATCGCTAAATATCATTTGCTTGTGAACTCCATGTAAAACAGATCAAAGTGATACAAGACCAAATCCTTCAACTATATCGTTTACTCATATCGGTACACTCCCGGCTCGTACATCTCAGAGGGCCGTCTGCTGCCAGCGCCGATTGTGAGACGTCGCTTGGGCTGCATGCGCTCACGGAGACGCTCGCGCTGAGCCTCCTCTTCCTTCTTCTCCTCGCGACGAGCAAGGCGGCGTGCCTTGTCTTCACGACGTTCCTCCTCAAAGCTCAAGCGGCGAAGCTCGTCAGCGAGAACTGCTTGGCTGTCGACGACTTCGACGGAGGGGCGCTTGTATGTAGCAGAGCGCTTGGGAGGGGCGGGGGCGGGGGCGACAGGGCGAGAGGCGATCTTTGCGTTGGCCTCTGCGATGCGAGTGCGGAGACGAAGCTCAGCTTCCTCTCGGCGCTTCTCCTCGCGACGGCGTTGGCGGCGCTCTTCCTCCTGGTCGGAGTGTCGGGAGCCGCTTGATGAGTGGCGGTGGTGCTTGGAGCGGTGGTGGTTGTCGACGACTTCGATCTGGACACGGCGCTGGTCAGGCTGAAGAGTTCGCTCATCAACGATGACAGGGCGGCGCTTGTTAGGGTCCCGTGAAGAGTCGACTATGTATGTGTTTGAGATGGGTGATGCGGGGGCAGTGTGAGGGGCATTCCATTGCTGGGGAGGAGTGCGTGGTGTAGGGGGGCTGTCGACCAAGACAATTCTCTCCTGGTGACGAGAGGAGCTTGGTCGACGCTCACGGCGGTTCAGATCAAGAACCTTCTGACCGTTGATGTAGACTCCAGATGATCGCTTCTTCTTGCTGCCGTTGCTGGTGTATGAGCGGTCTGATTCATCTCCTGAGCGGTATGAGCCCGACGGTGTAGAAGGGGCAGGGCTATACTGAGGTGTAGGAGGGAGTTGAGTAGCATAAGGGTAAGAAGAAGTGTCGTAGGGAGCGGGAACGTATTGGACTGGGTGCTCGAACAGAAAGTTGCTGGCGCAGACTTGTCCATGGCGAGAGTTTGCGCAGAGCGTAGGTTGAGACCACTGCTCGCGGCGTCCATCGGGGTGGACATATGTGTAGATGTTTGTGGTGCACATTGTGTCGGTGCTGAGAGGTTCTAAGCGGCTGTTGCGCTGAGGGGGATCCTCTTGGATGATAAACGGAGTCAGACGATGTGTTCTTGATATAGTCTGCTCAGGTGGTGAAGAAGTGCTGCTTCGACGACGACGGTTGTGGACGATGTTCTCAATGATAAGAGGTGACTGTTGAGAAGACAGTTCGAAGAGAGAAAGAAAGAAAGAAAGGGAAAGAAGATCAAGGTCTTATAGTAGTGTTTGTGTAAGATGAATTGAGTGTTTTGTTTGGTTGTTGAGAGAGTGGCAGATGGAGGTGGGTTATATAGAAATGAGGAAGGGTGGTTTGAAAGCTGTGTAAGCCAAGTCCAGGTACCGAGTGACTTTGGTAGTAATTGGATGCCTGGGGACTAGACTAGACTAAACTGTACGTCTTGTACAGTAAAGTAAGTGTAAAATATGGAGTGTTGGTGCCTGGGGTCTGGTTTGTGAGGTGTGTGCAGTAGTGTGATGTTGGTGTTGGTTGTGGTTCGCAAAGCGGTTCGAAGATATATACAAAGACTTGTACTGTAAAAAGGGTGGTGTTCCCTCCCAGAGGCTTGGTTCTCTCTGTGTCCTCTGCAAAGGCAGCCTTGAAGGTGGAGAAGGCCGTTTCTGCCTACCGTCTGCGGCCACTAAAAGTGATCCCTGTCTAGTCTAGTCCTGGCCCCCAAGCAGAATGCCCATGCCGATGACTCCCCCCTGGGTCATCTCAGCCACGGCCACCTTAGTTTCTGTTGGTCGGAGCCGCCAGACATTGAATTAGCTACAGAGTCAATGAGCATCACAGGCCAGGTTTGATCAATTGAATGGTTAGGGGGATCGAGAAAACGGGTATCGAGGCGGGAGATCAGGACACGGACGACAAGTGACAATCCCGTAATTAAACCAAGAATCAACTCGTGGGCAGATGAATTGGGATTTTACAATTAGAAGACAACGTAATCTAGGACTTCAATGGCCAACAACACGCGGCCACGGTTGAAACATGACCCTAAAATTATCACCAACAGAAATCATGACCATGATCATGATCACGAGAATCCAAGACTATCCCGAGTCTATTTCGTTCCCTTTGTCGCATCGCGAGTTTGTCCGTCGGACTCGAAAAATGTCCTTCGGCCAAAGACTAAGGTAAACTTACAATACCCATTATCTCGCATCATGGGATCCCCTCCCCCGGCGATTGAGTCATCAAGGACTGTCTGCAGCCCAAAACGCCTCTAGACCAACCAAAAAAAACCCTGTCAAGGACTGAAGACCATTTCTTCGCTATGCAAGTGCTACAGAAACTGCAATGTTCTGCATTCGGTGACCTCGTCCTCATTCGCTCTGAGTCACCCCCTGTTTCCACTTCCACTTACACTTAGCTATCGCGGGCAGTGCTAGGGGACGCCTATCGAGGCTTGGATCCGCCTAGGAATCGACGCCGGTTCTCACAGCCTCAGCCCTAAGCTAACCAGGATCAAGATCAACCACCACCATTCTCCAAGATTGACTGGAACCATTTTTGTTCAGCCTCGCATCGATATTATCATTGTCAGACAATAAGTTTGATCAACGTCAAGGATTCATTGGATGCCTCTTCCTCTTGACATGCAGCGGGAACTAATATCGTACAGATGAACCAACCTATCTGTGTATGCTTGTCATATCGGGACGCACAGGGCTTGCACAATGATGCAGAACATGATCAGTAACCGTTGGAAGATGCCAGAAGAGCCCTTTCAAAGTATGTACGACCAAGGGCGCGCGTACGTCATCTCATGTAGACTTGTCAAATGCGCATCACAGCGTTACACGACCTAGTGCGAATAGCTTCAGGCCCAAATGACGTTTCCCTTTGACTCTTCCTCGGTATTGAAACGAGAAGTAATAATAAACCAAAGTCCCAAGCCAAGGACTCAGAGCAGAAACCCACCCGAGAGTCCAATTTGTGTACCCAATTCCCCCCAGCTCGCGGCACAGTAACATAGGTAGACAGGCATTAGCAACAATCCCATTGTTCTATTGGTTCGTGACAGCCAAAATACCACATACGGATTTCAGACTCTTCCGGCACCGAGAGAGTGCTGCCTCTTCCGATAAGAACTAACAACGCACGCACGAAACGGCCCCCAAAACTAGGACGACTTTGCCTTTTTGGCTGCCTCGCCGAAAAGATCTTCTGATTTCTCAAAGGAGTTCGTCTCGCAGTTTGAATTGTAATCATCTCAGGCAGCAGCATCTCGATCAAGAATGAATGCATGCATGATGCATCCGTTGAAGAAAAGAGAGAAAAGGGCTGAGCAAAGGCCTCAAACTCGACCCCATGTCCAAGACCTAAAGCGGAATGGCGCCATCCAGCCCTGTAAGGCAGAACCTTGACCCTGGTGATTTTCTGCTGTAGCTCGTTCGCTTCTGTGGCACTGCCTCATCAGTGAGAGAG